TGCCTTTCGAAATTTAACATGTAGTAGATGCTTGCTGTCTCCCGGCGTGAGCTATCTTGTTACGAGCAAATTATTTCTTTATCTGCGTCAAGGTATTCTTTGCTTCTCTTTTTAGAAGAAAGCAAGGATCTTGTGAAAGGAACTGCCACAAGTGTGAGACATTACCTCATGCTTTGTGTCCAAAGATGTCCTGTTTGCTGACAAAGCCAATTCTGGGCAGATTAGCGCAAACACTTAGTTTAACGCAAGCTAGTATAGTGCTGGTTCAGGGGAGAGCAAATGACTTATTTTTAGTCCCATTTATCATTTTGACATCTGATTTCTATGGGCGTGCTAAATCACAAGATTTGTGTGTTATGCGTGAGTGTGTTCTTAAAGAATTCAATGGTCTAAAACTAAAGATATGACTGTAGACACTGATCAGTACTTCCATTGCTCCTGGTGATGGTGCACTGCACACAAGTTAAGGAGATATTAATGGGCGTAAAGCATTAAGTATCCATCAATTAAAACCCATATCCTCCTTTTTTCAACGACTCATTTGTTATCTCAGTCATATTTCTTGTGAAACAATTGTCCAACTTAATGAATTTTCTCAGTCCTATCCTTTACTCTAAAGTTTCTTGCGCATCACAGTGACGACCAGTATGCTAAGAGTTTAAATATTAGTTTGAAAGAATAAAATGTAACATGGCATCTGCTTAGCATTGGAGAACCCAGCATCTGATAATTTGGTTGATTTTTGCTATCGAAATTGAAGTTAATTAAAATTTTCTTTGCATCGCACTGGACTTACATTCAATGTACTTTACAATATATTTGGTGAAGCGCTTTGAGACGTCTCAACGATGTGACAAGGCCCTATATCAAATGCAAGGATTATTATTATTATTTACTCCACTGTCAAAGCTCATGGCTTCGTCATTTGTTTCATTTTACAAACATTTTAAGTTAAAACGCGTTGAAGCCTTGACCAGATATGAAATCCCACAAATCAGCAGTAAAGAGATTAACTCTAGTTTTTAAAAAAAATATCCTGACGGAAGGATTACCTTTTGCATGCAACAAGCATGTGATAACTTATCTTTAAGTCGTCCGATGTCTAATATTAATTAATTCATGTCTCCAAATAGATCTATAATTGCAGCTCAATCATTGCTCAGACGCTCTGAGAGTCTATTCCAAGTGAAGGGTGCTATACGATACATTTTGTTGTTGTTGTTGGTCAACTAGCATGATCAGCAGATCAGCTATTGACAGGGCAAAGACTTTGCTGGCTAGTGCCCACTAGTGCTGGAGAGTATTGCAGCCACCGTGTTTTTTCTGTTGCCTTCAGCTTCACGAGGTGGATGGGTTTTTGTTGAACCCACGTGAAATTCAGTTCAAGTTTGAGGAATCAAATGGCTTGCGTTAGGTTCTAAACGTGAATGAGAGTTACCCACAGGACCAGATCAGTGACAGAGTTCCCTGAAGGTATGAAGACTTGGCATAAATAGAAATGTTAAAAGTGTATGTTTGATGCTAGAATCTGTCAGTGTTGACCATATACTCATGAGACATTATTCTCATACGTACTAGTATTCATCTACAATATAACTAGAAGGCATCTTAAATGGTAGTCAGGGCAGAACAATCAAGTGTAACCGATTACAAAGCACTGCATGATTCACTATAAAGAAGTGTTGGACAACATGATTTATAGTGTACATGGAATTGACCCAATTTACAATATTTGTACCTCAAAGCGTTTAGTCATTTGCTTTGCAAAGGATTCTAAATTAAAGTGAATGTTAAAAAGATAGCCTTACGGTGAAACCACTTTCTTGTGCAATACCCAAAGGATTGGCAATACTTATTGTGCTGACTATTACAGAGTAACATGGAAATGGTTTCAGGCAAGAGTGAATCGTTAGCCTATCAAGGCTGCTCATCCAACATCCAAAAAGAAATTCCAATTAAAAACCCGAATCATGGAGCACTTTATATCAGGGCTACATAAAGAGAGTGCGCAGGAAAGAAGATAGGACTTCATGCTTACATAATAATAATAATAATAATAATAATAATCGTAATAATAATATGAGGTGTAAAAACATCACTGAGACATTCTTGTGCATCTCCAATGCCACAGTGCAGAGAAACAATGATATACAATGCTTATTGGACCCAAGAGAAAATTCGGACGAAACATTAAATAAATCCTCTAAAGGTAATCACACAGCTTACTAGTATTATGTGTCATGTTGCTTGCCAGGTTAGGACCACCAACCAATAGGCCTTTGGGCTGAGGACATCTCTACACTTCCAAGGTTCATTGATGACTCTGCAGTATTCAGAACGTGTTGGGCTGCTAGCTAGGTATGTCTCCCAATGAAAATATTTTAGAAATAGCTCTCATTTTTTATCCATCTTAAGTGAAGGTCAGATTTGGACTTTCGCTTATTTGAGATACGTAAACGTATCCTTGAAGGGAGATGGTCAAGGAATCAAAAATTAATACTTACCATTATCCTCAGCCAAAAATCTTCAAATGTCAGGGAGAGATTGGGTGAACAAAAGCACGTGATGGTTTCAGACATTTAATTCAACATCTACTGATCAGATTCAACTCCAAATATGCAGCACTGTAGGCTCCAGAAACTGGGATAAGCTGTCAGCAATGTTTATGTAATGCAAATGCCACTCACTGACAAACAATGAAAGGGACATCTTTGTTCAATGTCCACGTTGCTTTTACAAGCACTGTTACCTTTTGGGAAAATGTTCTCCTGACAGAATCTTGTCAGAAAAGCAACTCAGAGAATAGGAAAAAGGACTGAAAGTATTTAAATAAAATGCCGATTCTGACACCAGCTCATGATGAATTTCCCCCGGCACATATCCATCACCCCAATTAATTCAGCACTAAAAATAAGATGGAAAATACACTCGGGTTTAAAGGAACCTAAGCAAAGAAGCAAGATGTGATCAGAATATCTTTTCATTGATCTGGTTTGGCTGTGTCGGAGGTAGAATTAGTGGAGCGATCGCACTCTCAGCAAAAGATGGCTAAGAAATTTACTTTGATGCAAGGTCAAAAATTGCCAATTTCTTTATTTACGATGATGGTGGTGATGTTGGGAGGAAGGAGTGTGGGTGGAGGTCTAATGGCTTGTAGTGAGAATAAAGGTGGCGTGTCAAACTGGACATCAAACAGGTTGCCAGGAAGGGTGGTTAAAGCCGGAACTCATTTCAAGATTAAAGCTTGATGCTCTGTGATTGCCAAGATGGCAGGCGGGTACTCTGGAAGGATGAGATAAAATGGGCCGAAGGATCTTCATCCGAACTGATCTTGTGAATATGGGCGGTTTCATGAGGAAATGCACGTTAGTTCTAAGGGTTGAATATAGAAGGAGATGTGATAAAGAAAGAGAGGTAATCTATGCTCTGAGACCCCTGTTTTTTTGTCTCATAAGATGGTGCAATATACAGTCCCTACACTTTACAGTATATTCTGTGCAGGGTTCTGAGACGTCTGGAAAATGCTATACCAGATGCAAGGATTATTATTATTACTGCTGGCAACACTAACTACCAGGACCCATGATTAGATTCTTGGCAGGTTAGCTGGGGGTGGGGGGGAGAGGTCTGTGTGTGTGTGTGGGGGGGGGGGGGGGGGGGGGGAGGGGGTGCTTCTGTATATTTTGACTATCTTGCAAGAATCTTTCCTATCTCCTGTTTTATTTTCACATCTGCGATTTAGCCAACGCAAGCTTCAAGTGGTCCGGATCTGAATGCAAATCTTCCTGAGTTTATAATGTTATTTTCTCATGCATTTCATTATTCCACTTACATTATCTGTCAAGTTTCACAATTTGAGAAACATTTTAATAATGTAGGGATTGTACCACATTCCACGTGAATAATTTATTTGTTTTTTTATCTCTCTCTCTCTCTCTGCCGCCGAATCAAGACAATTTTTTTTTCTCTCTCTGTTTTTAAATTAAATTCCTCTTATCTAGTAAGGACATCTTTCACCCAACTTGTTTCCTTGCTTTGTCTTGACATCAAAGGCAAGCAAACAAAAAAAAAATAAGCATTTCAGCTAAAAGCTTCGCCACTCCAACCAAGTGGACAATTATGTCTTTTTTTTTTGCACTGCACAGATTCACTGAGAATGACAAACAGAATTTGTCATATTGTGGTATCTGTCTCCGCCTGGACTCTCGTTGTTCTGTCAAATGGGTACAACTAATATAATTGAGTTGTAATAATTAGTGTCACTCATACCCTAAAGTTGCTCAGTTGCAAGTAGTTGTCTCATATACTTGTAGATGCAGCCCAGAATATTTACAGTTAAATAATATAATAATCTTTACATTTGATAATAGCGCCTTATCATGTTGGTGAGACGTCTCAAAGTGCTTCACAGAAGCTAGGATTGTACGTAGGAAAGTTTGTTTGGAAAAGAGATGCTTCGGCAAAGGAGAGAGTGCATCAGCAAGTTCCAGTGCGATTTATAGCAAGTCATGTCAGGATTTCCTGTATTTTTTGTAGGCATATATTACAATGGATGACTGCTGTCCAAATCAAATAGGAACTCACGTAAGTTAAACGGGAAGACGGGGTGACTCTTAAGGTTTTAGCGTGTATTTTATTAACCTTCGGAGAAAGAGAATTGAACTGGGATTTATAATCGGGCTGGAATTTTGGTTTGTTACCATTTTGATTAATATTCATTTAATTTTTTATTTCATTTTGATTGTTAGTTGTGATGACGGGGAACTGCGTGCTTGCAAGGTGCGTTCCGCGAGATCGGGAGTTAGTTATGAAGGAACTTTGGTCTCAGTTTATTAAGCAAGCAACGGATAAACCAAACATAGGTGGAGCTGTTTGCTAACTTGCCTGCAAGTGCTCAAATCAGTTTCTGGGGAAGAGTTAATCATTCATAACCAACTGACAATACAGGAAGTCACATTTGTTTCCTTTCACTTTCATTGCTTCTCCCTTTTCTCATCAGAATGGCCGCAGTGTCACAGCAGGCTATTTTTGAGGAAGGGCTCCTCTGCGCCATCTGTTTGGAATTGTTCACGGATCCTGTGACAATTCCCTGCGGGCATAATTTCTGCCTGGAATGCATAAAGCGGTATTGGGACAAGGAAGCCAGCGCCGGTGTTTCCAGCTGCTGTCCCAAGTGCCGGGCTATTTTTCCTGAGAGGCCCCAGCTTAGCAAGAACACGGTTTTGTGTGACCTTGTGAGGAACGGTCGACCGTCAGAAAGGCACGCGCTCCCCGAGTCTGATTGCCACCCGGTGAGCGTCGCGTGCGACTTCTGCGTCGACCAGGAGTTCAAGGCCGTCAAGTCGTGTTCCGTGTGCGCAGCGTCGTTTTGCCAAATCCACGTAAAACCTCATCAGACATTAGCCGAGCTACTGCACCATCCGTTGACGGATCTGGTGAAAGGTAACGGAAGCCGACAGTGCGAAAGGCACGACAGGCTGCTGGAGCTGTTCTGCAGGACAGACCAGACCTTCATCTGCTGCATGTGTGCCATCCGCGAACACAGATACCACGTCCTGGTGACTGTACAGGAGGAGAGGGCCGAACAAGACCGATGGCTCTTGGCTAAACGGGCGGAATTGGAGAAAGTCATCCAAGCGACCGACGCTGACATTCGGGACTTGACGCAGCAAACCGACAGGATTCCGGTCTCCGCTGTCAAGGTGAACAAGGTCATCGCTGGCAGATTCTCTGAACTGGCGCGGGCTGTGGAAGAGGCGCAGGAGAGAGTGGCCACGTTCATTGCCAGAGAGGAGCAAGCCGCTTTGCGGAAGACCAGGCAAGCCATCGGCGAGAGGAAGCGACGCTCGGCTGAGCTCGCGAGGAGGAAGGATGAGATGGAAGAACTCTCGCAGAACGTGGACGACGTGAGTTTCCTCCAGGCGCTCAAGATCTTCAGCAGTGAAAGGGAAACGGCTTCAGCTCGGTCCAACTGCGAGGTTCACCTGAGCTTTGCTGGCGTTAATCGAGTGGTGGCTGATCTGAAGGAGCGTCTGCGGAGGAAATGCGACGAAATCTCGGGGAGCTTGACCGGGGAGGTGGCTGAGCTGAGGAGCTACTGGCCGTTGCCGACGGAGCTAGGGAGGAACCGTAGCAATTTCCTGGCCTGCGCTCGCCAGCTCACGTTCGACTCGAAGACGACGCACAAGCACCTCTCCCTGTCAAAGGAGAACCGCAAGGTGCTGAACATCTGGCCGAAGGAAGCTTTCTACGTCAACCACACGGAGAGGTTTGACTCCTGCTGGCAAGTGCTGTGCATGGAACATTTCGAAAGAGGCGCCCACTACTGGGAGGTGGAAATCAGCGAAGGGAGCCTGGCGGGCGTTACGTATAAATCGATACCAAGGAAAGGAACGGACAGCGTTTGCTTCATCGGAAAGAACAGCCTCTCCTGGGGCTTGCAGTCGTTCAGTGACCATTGCTTAGCGTGGCACAATGGGACCCAAGTTAAAATAAAACCGTCGAAACACGAAAGACTAGGAGTGCACCTGGACTATTCTGCCGGCCAGCTATCATTCTACGGGATCAACCACACAATGACCCTAATACATCAATTCCAGGCTGTGTTCACGGAGCCATTGTACCCAGCTTTCCGACTCATAAAAGCGGAGTCATTTTGTTGCATATCTCCGATTGACCCTTAAGGTTTTTACGGTGATAACGAAGAGGTTCTTTGTTTATTCAGACGCTGCAAAAAAAATCGTACGGTACTGGGTAGGACTTTCCTTTGCTTTTGTTTCACTCTCTAAATTTCTATCAGTGATTATCGACTGTTAACTTTAAACGGGAGCCCAGTTCCATGCTGAGCTGGTTCTGAAGCCATTTGTCAACTTGGCTCAGCTGGCAACACTCTCGCTGTGAAGTCAGAAGATTGTGGGTTCAAGCCCCAACTCAGAATTCAACGGCTACGCTGGCCCTGCGATACAGTGCTGCACTTGTGATGCATTGTTGGAGGTGGCATCCTTGGGAATGGGCAAACCCTTCATTTTTAATTTCATTTTAAAAAAATCCATTAATGATTGAAAGCTGTTTTGGAAGCAGCATTCGCTTTGGAAAGGAAATGTTAATTTTGTTTGAAAAAATAAAATAAAACTGCGTTTTCTTTTGGCTTCTGTTAAAATTAAGTCAATAGGAGGTTTCAAAAGAGAATTAGATAGGTACTTAAAAAGGAAAACATTTTGCGGGGCTATTGGTTAAGAACGGGGGATTGGGATGAGTTGGTAGCTTTTTCGAAGAACCAGCACAGCCACGATGGGCCGAACAGCCTCCTTCTGTGCTGGAAGTTTTTATGATTCTATGAAGGCGATACCTTTAGGTTTATCTTATTAAAAGCAATTTTTCCAAGCGATGTGTACATGAGCAATTGGCTGCCGTGTTTCGCCCACAAAATACACAGTCAATTCACTTTACAGTATATTCTGTGAAGCGCTTTGAGACGCCTTGAAGACGTGATAAGGCGCTGTATCAAATGCAAGGGTGATTGTTATTTGGTGAAAACATATTGAAACTACATGGATAACGCTTTTGAATAACAGTAAATTTGTCACTTAGGGTTTCGGGAGAAGTATTCCCATTTGAAATTTCTCAAGGTGAAGTGCAAAACACATCGCAAACTACTCTGTCTGATACCACACGGCAGTTCAGATCTTGTTAGGAATTAACTCTTTAGCTACCCCAATGGTCAAGTCGGTAAAAGTCAGTCTGGAACAAAATGGAAGCAGGTTAACTTGTAAGGTGCCAGGTTGGTGATCAGTTATTCGATTTAACTGGGCCAATGGAGCAAGTGAGGTGGTACAAACGGACTGAGTACCCTAGTTTTTGAGGCACAAACCAATCCCGGTGATCTCTCCTAACTAAACAAATCTGCTTCAAATGCAAATCTGGCAATGCTATTTTACTACATTAACAGTAATTTGAAGCTTTTAGATCCAGTAACAACTCCACAAAGACAGCAATAATGAATAATGTAAGTGCTAGACCTGCAAATTGATCTGACACGCAAATATAACATGAAGTAATGGTTCAATTCCACCAGAAATCGTTGCACTTAAGTATTTTCTAACGTGTTTGTTACTGTTTAGTTTGATCTCTAAATTTTCCACGCACCCACGCTTATTCTTCCTAATAATGCTCTGTATATATTATGCATTTGTCAGTGAATTGCCACCTAATGTGCCCGTAAACAAAGGCTCAGATAGAGCAACAGGCGAGCAGCTCTGAATGTGGAGAGGCCTGTCTGGGAGAAGCCAGGGCAATCTGCAGCGTAAACACATGAGGCACACAACACCCTGGTTGGGAACGCAAGGGAGAAAGGATCTCCTTCAGCGCGAGCAGATTTATTCCAGAGTTTCGGAAATATATTTTTAGAAACAAAGTATATTTCCGAAGTTTATTCGTGAATCAATCAGTGATGCCCTTATGGGAAATGGGAAGCAAACAAACAACATACAAGCAACCATTTTGTAGTTCAGCGTTGATGCGATGTCGATGTTCGATTTCATTTATATTATATTGTGAATATTAAATATAAATTTCAATATGTTGAAGATCCCCTGGCACTATTCTAAAAGAGAAGGGAGTTTCTCTCTCTCTCTCTCTCTCTCTCCCAGTGTCCTGCCTGACTATCCCTCAAATAAATTCAGTCCGTTCACTCACTTCATGGCTTAAAAAAAAACTTACCCTCAGAATATCTTGGAACCTCCCATCTTTCTGCGGCTCTCTGGTCAGAAATGCATCATTTCCACTGCGCAGAAGGTACATGTGCCAGAGTTCACACACACACACACACACACACACACTGCATGGGGATTGTACATCTGCCACCACGATGAGCCTGAAATCTCAGCCTTGAAGGCAACCCTTCTTGTTTGGTGGTGGGTGGGGGCGGGGGGGGGGGAAGGGTTGAAAATTTCCAGTTTCTTCACGAAACACAATTACTTCCTCGGAATCTAATCAACGTAAGCCGAAATCACGGAGGAAACGATTTCTGCAATCCAAATTGATCAGCTGCCAAAAAAAGATTCCTGTAAAATGACAGAGTTTCAGCGAAATGCTTCAAGCTCCCAGTGGAAGGTAGCAGTCCCATTCCTATAACTGTGAAGCTCATTAAAAGGCAGTTCAAGTCAGTACACCCCATTACCTTGAATATGACATACATATGGTGAGCTCCTTCAACTGTTGCTGCAGTGTGATTGAGGCATTGTACGTTCAGAAAGCCTTTGCAGCCAAACCATCCATTAATGATTGAAGATGTTTATTCCGCGTTATCATCTAATGAAAGAATGTGCAAGCTAACTCTTGCATTAAACAGGGGAAACGCTGAAGGGTCAATCCCTTGTTCATTAAAGGCTGTTGTTCATGTGGAAATACGGAGGTCTAAGGTTTGGGGGGGAAAAAAATAACTTTAAATGTAAAGGCAATGCAAATTGCAACACATCACGGGAGCGAATAGCAAAAAAAAATGGGCGTTGACTTCAGGACTGAGTCACCCACACTGCAAAAATCTTCCATTTTGCCAGAGTTATCTGAACTCAGCTGGGACAGTTTTGCAGGATGATACAGTGAGGCTCAGAGCAGCCAGGATAGTCAGACAGATAGTAAATCGCACGGGGCTCCTGGTTAATTGCAGTGATCTCGGTTAGGCCTCACCTAGAGTTGTAAAGGTCAATTTCAGGATAGATACCACAAAGTTTTTCTTTACTCAGAGGGCAATCAATGACTGGAACAGGTTGCCAGGAAAGATGGTTGAAGCCAGGACACCAGGTTCGATCCGGGGAGAAATGGTAGGGTGCAGGGATGGGATCTGCTGAGCTGAAGGGTCCTTCTTCATCCAAACCAATCTTGTGACATCTTGTGAGGATGAGATCAGGCTTGGCTCTGGTTTCCCAGTGAAAGAATAGGATGCAACAGCTGATAAACAGGGATTTTCCACTGTCTGCAGTGTACTTTTCACTCTTCCTTGACTCCCTGCCTCTCTACCTCCAGCTACCGCAAAATGTGGACAGTTAACCAGACACAACACTTCTTCCATTCATACAAGTTACCAAGTACGTGGTCAATCCCCATTCAATCTTTCTTTGCGGACCCCAACACTCGGACACATTTGCCTACAATTACGCAGTCAGTGCACTCATCAGAGAAGCACCTTGAGACGTTTCGACGAGGTGCGACATCTAATGCAAGGATCATTATTGTTACACATCCAGTTCTTTTCTGAAGAAGCTAATTGATAAAAGCAGCTTCTTCTCCCGCTGGATATCCCACATCCCTGCAACTTAACTGGATAAAACATCCTTCTAATCTCTCATCTTTCCTCGCGGCTTGTTAGTTTTAAACCTGTGTCTTCTCCTGTGTCTATGCCCTGTGGCTTGCTTACATCTGCACCATTTACATAGGCATCTCCTCACCAATTTAGTTTCTTCAATGAAAATAATCTCATTAGTCAGACCAGGCTCTCGCCCTATTCCTCCCCTCTCATAGTTATTGTTTCACCTCTCGAAAATGAACCAACGAACAGTGCTTTGCTGTTGCTGTCTCATCGTCAATCCTATTTTTCATTTGTTTTAAAGCGGGAAGGAAACAAATATACTTTTGAGTTATTTTCTTGTCACTTCTGTTTAACCCCACACCAGGGGATTTAAAAAAATTGCTTGAATGAGTTTTCTTTTTTTTAAAAAAAAAACTCTTTATTGCCATCATTTAGGGATTATCACCCAGTATCGACTTTGGCATGCCTGGAGTTTGCGAGGAAACACTTGGAAATGAAAAGCAGCAACATAGAAATTGCAGAGCGCAACAAACCTGATTGTTTTCAGCAGGAGTTCAGCCTGCATACATTTTCATCAGTGAGACCAATTTCACTACAGTGATGCTGCGCAAGAAAGATTCACAAAGGGAAAGGAAAATGCATTTCATTTCTTTTATATATGTTTGAGCGTGGAGGGAGGGGGGGGAAACAAGTTGATGAAGCATTTAGATGCCTCGTAAAATGATCTAAAACTATGAACGGTCCCGAAAGACCAAAGGGGGAAGAGAAACAAAGCCTTGCCCTTTTCTATTGCTTTTCGGGGGTTAAAGAAATAAGTTGGGTGACGTACGTGAGAGCGAAGGGAGTGTTAGCGTGCGTTAGCACTGTGTCGTGCACGGAGATTGGCGATGGCCTGGCATATTCCCTGCTATTTGGCAGCTTGTTCCGCAAGCAGGTGAATTTCGTTCAAAAATCTTTTTGTAGGCAAATGCGGCAGACAATTTGCACGCAGCAATTTGCCTCCACAAACTGCCAAAGAATGACCAATTTTATCGGGGAGATTGTTGGCCAGGACACGGGGAGAAACTACCTTTTCCTTCTCAAGTAGCGCCGGCGAATCTTGTAACGTCCACCTGAACTGGCCACAGTCGGGACCTCAGTTTTAACTGAGGGCCAGAGTAAAAATTCATTGAGCCCCATTCCCCCCTTCCCAGTGGCAGACTGGCTCCCTGAAGGGGCTCGGGATTGTGATGTAAAATAGGGTCGCCGATTTGTGGGGTAATTCGGGAAGTTTCCCGATATATATAGCCAGTCCACCTTTGTTTATCCCTTAAACACATGATGACATCTTGATTTAAGGTGTGTTGCTGATGCGGTGCATTTAAAAATAGCCTCACCACATCTGGCCACAAAAAAACTGCACTTGCTACTGTTACCACGTTCCTAACTAGCACGAGCTATTAACAGATTTGCTTTTAATTGATGTTTGTTAACGTTTTTTTCCCTCCACTCAAGAGATTCATTACTGTTAAGTACTTGCATTACCCGTTCCTCTGGGCTCAGTTTGGTTGACCTTTTTCGGTTCACTGATGAACGCTCGAAGAGTCTGCAAAAGGTTAAACAGTTTAGCTGCAAAAATCATCCACAAGAGAACACCCTGAAGGTGTCAACCCACGGAAGGTATCTACCGCCCCGAACTTACCATTTTTAATGAAGAATTTTTTTTTACCAAAATGTCACTTTGCCTAGGTTTAGAGATACTCCAGATACTAATGACGCAATTGCTCAAGTTTGTTTCATTACGCACCCTGCCCGCCCCACCATCGACAGTCAGGCTTCCAGCCTTTCTACTCCCACCCT